AAGGATTTGAACAGCAGGCAAGAAAATTTAAAGCCCTCAAAAAGATGGTAAATTCTAACAATCAATCGCCACATATATGAGAGAACCTTGTATCATCTGGTCAAAATCCTTCCTGATTTATCTCCCATTTATCTATTTTTCAACTTTCTAATCCTGAGCAACCATATCTAAGAAGGAGATTATCATAGCTATTTACCTGCCAATATTTTGAGACGCAACGATCAATACAACTGTTCTCACCCATATATAAAGCTCAGCTTCTTTATATATCTGGAAAAAGATAACGAAACAAGGGTTCTTTGAATTCTCTCATGCTCAAACTCAATTAGATGTTCCTATCTACAATCAAAGATGCAAAATATGGTTACACTTGGGGAGATAATAATTAACCAAAGAAAAAAAGACCCAAGTAACCTACACACAAAAAGATTGAAAGAGTACAATAAATTTCAGCGCGTACCTTTTCTCAACGCATTTATTAAAGCAAGTGCGGGTGAGCCTGAAACAGATATTAAACAAAAAAAAGAGAGTTAAAATCAGCTTAAACAGTCTAATAGCTACATGATTGATGATTACATAAATTGATCGTGGCAGGTTGTCACTAAATTGGATTTTACTGAAGAAAATGCTTGAAACACGTGCTAAAAATTTCAAGTCGTCGGGTGGATTTTGTAAATTTCAAGATTTCTGTTACTAGTGCACACCCCTACTAACTTAAACTGAGCATTATCACGTGAGGCATGATGAGTTTATATAGGCACAACCTACTTCCTCTTTTACTATCAAAACAATTTCTCAAAATATTAATGATTCGGCATGAACCTATGAGAAAAAAAAAATTTATCTTACTTGTTGAAGAGGTCTACTCTGTATTCAAAATTATCTTACTTGTTGAAGAGGTCTACTCTGTATCCACTCTCAGCCATTCCTGGGATCTGTTCGTTGAGAGTCAAATAATAAATTCACGTAAAAAGCTTAGAAATATTCGTTCACAAAGACACTGCTGTCATGGGTTAGACAATATATATATATATAATATAACTTGAATATAAGATTCGATGGGAAACCATTATTGGCGGCCATTAGGAAAATCTTTATTCCGGTAAAACCTAACCAAGAAACCTAAATGAAAGGGAAATCTTGGAGAAGGGGGAAACCTAGGGTTTTAAACTAATGAGGCAGCAAGAAAACTGGTTACTTGACGAATGGGCGGTAGTGGGCTTGGACTATTGGGCCCAAACTCATTCGGCCCGAACCCGATCCGGGCACGCTGTAGCTACCTGCTCACGATCAACTTTGAACGAAGAATTTCTCTATTCACTTCAGCCCTGTTTGGAAGAATTAACATAGTTAACCAACTTAATAATCTGAAAGACTAAATTATTAACTCATTATATAAGTTTTATTTTAGTTCTTGTGATCATTTTTAGTGTCTGGGAATAACAAGAATTTTAACTATTTTCTTTATAATTAGAAAGGTTAAGTCTTAATCATTCTCAATAGGAGTATTAGTAAACCCCTTATTTTGAGGGGTTACTCATTTTAATCCCTCTAGAAGGGTTAGCTTAACCATTCTATATATTTTGTGTTTAGCAAATTATGAAGGGTTAACTCACTTTAACTCTTGTATAGATTTTTTGTGTTTGACGGGTTAAGAATGTGTTAAGTCTCCTTAACCCCTCACTTAACCATTTGTCAAACGACACCTTAATGAAAACGACACCTTATGTATCGTTTGGCAAAGAGTTAAGTGAGGGGTTAAGGAGACTTAACCACTTCTTAACCCGTCAAACACAAAAAATCTATACAAGGGTTAAAATGAGTTAACCCTCCATAATTTACCAAACATAAAAAATATAGAAGGGTTAAGTTAATCCCTCTAGAGGGATTAAAATGAGGGGTTTACTAATACTCCTATTTAGAAGGATTAAGAGTTAACCCTTCTAATTATAAAGAAAATAGTCAAAATCATTGTTATTCCCAAACACTAAAACTTATCACAATGACTAAAATAAAACTTGTTTAACGTGTTAATAATTTAGTCCTTTAGATCATCGAATGGGCTAAGTACATTAATCCTTCTCTTTAACCCCTCTTTCTTAACCTTTTGCCAAACGGGGCCTTAATGAACTAACGGGTTCAATGCAAGCACATGAATAGGGACCTAACAAATCGAAGGAAAATACCATTGAGCATGCATTTCAAGCAAAGCTACAGCCCTCCTCTGAAAAATATGATCACGTTGAGGTTAAATCCATAAGGGATCGTGTCAGAGGTGGAGGTGGATATGGAGGTCAAGGTCATGGAAGGAGCTCAGGCCATGGTCGAGGAAGATCTGATGACAATCAAGATAGCTCTAGCAGGCATGGAGCTAATCACTATTCTCATGTGCAATGCCATTTCCATAAAAAGCATGGTCATATAGTGATGTAGAACACACGACATACATATTTATGGGGAAGCAGACATATTTGACTAATTTACTTCCCTAATCCTAGGGAGTCCTTTTAGGAAGAGTTTTGTTATTTCTATTTTTGATAAAGTTTGAGTCATAAGTAGTAGTCTTGTTTTTTTCTATTTACGCAGAGTATTGTAAGCCTTAGAAGTATATCTTTTCATCAATAAAATTTCTCTTTTAATATTTCTTCGTGGATTCAGAGATCATTCTTTGTGGATTCAGAGAACACCCTTAGTGGATTCCGAGACTTTACTGCCCCTTGCTGCATTTTTTTTACTAAACAAACAGGTCCTAAGTTATAGGCTTAATTTATTTGCTTATGATTTTTGAGCCTGTATCAAGTGATTCCTGTTGTGCTTTGTGATTGACCCTTAAAAGCTTTAGGCTACGTTTGGTTTGACGGAATTGGGGGGAAATAAAAAGAAAAAAGAAAAGTAAAAAAGGAAAGAAAAAGAAAGGAAAGTAAGATTTTTTTTTTAAGTTTGGTTTGGAAGGAAATTGTAGAAGAATTTGAAGGAAATGATAGTGCGTTCCCTATAAAAAATGTTGAAAAAGAAAATAGTTTCTATCATATAATAAACTATATTGGTTTAATTTTTTGAAATGTTTCTAGTTTTTTAAACTTATTTTTGATGATGATGACGACATATGTATCCTCCAACACATAAGTTGTTGATGTTCGTAAAGGTGTTTGGGGAATTTAGTTTCCCCGCCTACTGCAATCTGCACAACTCGAAAGCCAATCACAATCAACAAGATATAAAACAACCACAATCAAGAAGAAAGAACACCAAGATTTACGTGGTTCGGTTGGCCAACTTCGACTTAAGTTCACAGGGCAACAATACGAGAAATTCACTATGTATCAGAGAGAACTACAAGAGGAATCACTCAACTCTCGTCTCTCAATCTGTCAACCTCATATACATAGTCAACTCTCATATTCTCTCTGAAGCCCTCTCCTTACGATCTTTTGAACGGACAAAGACTACGAAACCCTCTCCCAATGATGTAATCTTTTGTACTGACAAAGACTACGAAATCCTCGTCTCTCACACGATATTCTTGAATCAGGCTATGTCCTCTGATAATCCTAGAGTACAAGAATATTGGCTCTCTCACTTCTCCTCTTCTTAGTTTTTTTCCAACGATAGAAGAATATATATATATATGGAAACCAAAATCCTATCTCTAGTCTAACTTTCTAATTAGAATAGGATTCAAACTTCTAATTATGATGAGACTCAATCTTCTAATCATGATAGATCTCTAACCCTATCTAATTTTCATGAAGTTATACAAAGAATCAAAGACACAATCCTAACAAAAGGAAAGTCTTAATTAAGAGTTCTCTATACCAAATCTCCAATGTGAGAATATAGTTGATCTGTCTAATCTAGTTAGTGGTTGTGATTTTTCGTTAAGTATAAATTAGAAACGAGTATAATATATGGATATATGATTAGTATTAGATTTAGATTATATTATAAATGTATATTGGATAATCAACAGTACTTAAGATTAAAAACAGTGATATCCTCACTTCTATGTTACAGTGAAGATATCCAAATTCTTTTTGAGCTTCTTGTTCCACCAATCAATCGGTGAATAATCTTCCTTAAGCAGCCATGTTGTGGGCCCCACATGACGTGGAGGCTGTCCAAAACGCGTTGTTCCTGCATGAAGTTGGGACTAGATGCCAAAGGACGACTCCGCTCCGTCGCCTTTGCTGACTGATCGCCTCGCATCATGCCCCCTTGTTCTGCGAATCTCGTTATTATTTGGATAAATTCTTAAAGCCCCATCTCTACAATTAAAATTCGCACCAATGTTTCCATTCTATTGTTCTTTGTATAAATTAAAAAAAAAAATCCAATACATTGACATATAATTAAGGGTATATGACTTTACAAAAGCCCCTTATAGAGTTTTTTTTAATTGTATAACCAATCAATCTGGCATCTTCTAGTAAATTGTCCAAAAAAGAACTTACTAATATTTTGTTTGAGAGAAAAAAAATTACTTGTCTTTTTGGAAAATTACAAAAATTCTCAAAAATCTCTATAATAATTGTTTTTAAAAATGATACTTACTCTATTTTTTTCTCAAGTAATTTATCAAAAATTTCAATGTTTATCCAGGATAATAGTCATGTATAAATGTTCATTGGAGAGTAAATTAGTATCATATTATAAAAATTCTAATTTTCTTTTGCAAATTTAGAAGAGAAGAGAAATTGTCTCCCAATGATAATTTATTGATTTATGAGTTCATTTCTGTAAAGATTAAGTATGGAAATGTCTAAGCAAAGTGGAAAGAAATAAGAAGGTACATGCATGATAGATTGGAAATGACAATATATATTTGTCCCGTACTGCATTTTATCATATTTTCTGTCATATTTATTATATTTCCTGCCATATTCAACATCCGCTAAACTCCTAAAATCCATGAGCATCTTCAATAATTCAGCTTGTGTTTTTTTCCGCAAAACTATTATTGTACATAATAAGTTCCTGTGCACTTTATCCCTTTTTTCTTCCTTCTATTAATAGTGGACATAATTAATACTCCCCATTAGCAGTGCTAGCAATGGCAATATCAATCACATTCCTCATCCTCTCTTTATCAGCTCTCCTCGCTCTCCTTTCCATCCCTCCAACTCTCGTCATCGCCGGCGACAGCAACGTTCTCCTGACGGGAGAAGTCCTCACCACTGACGGCCAACTCTCGTATGGCAACACCGCCTTCATCATCCAAGATGACTGCAACCTCGTCCTCTACAACAACGCTAACGGGTTCCAATCCAACACCCACTCCGACGGCCTCAACTGCACCCTAACCCTCAGCGACCACGGCCACCGATGGGTCCACCGCCTGGACTTCCGGCTCACCCAGCCCAAAAAAAGGCAACTACGCCGCAGTCCTGCGCCCCGATGGACAGGTTGCCGTCTACGGCCCATCCGTCTGGTCGACGCCTGAACCGAGCTCGCCGAGCCCCAAAAATGTCGTCTACGAGTCTGAACTCGACGGAATCATCCCGGTGGTGCGAAACCTGCTGTTCTCGTCGCAGACTCTGTACAACGGGGCGTCTCTGGCGACGAGGGACTACTCGTTGGTAATGCGGGAGGATTGTAACCTGGAGCTGACGAAGGCGAATTCTGACCGCGCCGTGTGGCAGTCGTCGAGTGCTGGCGAAGGGAAGCATTGCTTCCTGAGGCTCGATCACAGAGGGCAGCTGTGGTCGTAGCCGATGACCGGTATAAGGCCGTGTGGGTTAGTAGCAAGGTGGGAGGGGGGAAGGATGGGGATTACGTGCTCGTGTTGAAGGTCCATGGGCAGGCTGTTGTGTATGGACCCGTTGTTTGGTCCACTGCGAGCACTTGATTTATGTTGGAATTGATTCTTCAATTTGCTGGAAACACACACACACTTGTGACAAGGAAAGAAAACCAATTTTCAGGCGTTCTAAATCCACACACATTCATTACTGTCATATAAAACTACAAAATACAAAACAGTTTTTCTAACTTACAAACGTGCACAACGTGCACAAGAAACCTGTAACTAACTAACTAAACACTTAACCCACTAAGTAACCAACTAATTAACCTATGAAATGCATAACGTTACAAGATTAATTCAACAATTTATTTGTTTGGTTTTAATTGTGTGTTTGGTTTTGGTCGCTCGCTGCTGTGTTTGGTTATTATATATGCGTGCAGCCGAAGGCTGAAGCTGTAAGTTTGTATGTTGATGTTGGGTTCTAGTAGCCTCCCGTTTGAAACAACTGCTTGAATAACTTTGCCGAATTGCAATTGGCTCTTATTAATTAATTAGGGCATGGGTATAGATTATGGCCCTTTGTCCACAGCAATTCTAAAGACGTACGTGTCAATGGGCGCGCATTAGATGATTAGACTTTGAGATTTGTTTACAAATGTTTGATATCCATTTAGTCCGTATGAAATTTCATGAACCGTTCCTACCAGATATATACCTTATCCTTCAAAAAAACCCCGAAATTAAATTTCATCAAAAAATTTCACCCTACGGGTCGAGCAATTATGAGCACTTACATTGCCTCCCAACTCGCTAATGAAGTCCACGACAGCCTCTATTAACGGTAATAAATAGCACGTGATATTTTCGCCCGAATTTGTGATTGCCGGTTATATTTAGGACTTATTCACAAAAATTAGTCATTTTTTATATCAAAAAGATGCCGGAGACTTTTTAAATACCAAAGTGGTAAAGTGGGCCTGTTTTAAATAGCAATTTGGTATTTTAGCCGGGTTTAGTTTGGATGATTAGGATTTAGTGGAGGGTTTAATTGTTGGAAGAATTCAGAAATCCAGTTTTCAGATTGTGAGTCGACTCATACATGCACATGAGTCGACTCATCAGCTTGAGTCGACTCATGCCTATCATGAGTCGACTCACAAAACCCAGCCGTTTTGTCAGACGTTTCTAACGAGTTGACTCACCTCAGTCATGAGTCGACTCATGTCGGGTTTTCAGCCTGTTTTGGTTTTCCTGTTTGGTTTGGGATTGATGTTTGATATAAATATCAACACGAGTTTATGGTTTTAAAAAGGAACCAAGAGGGTCGTTTTGAGCAACTATTCACAGGGAATAGAGCATCCTTTGTAGGAGAGATTGTGAGAGAATTGAGAGCTTGGTTCTAGGGT